GAGAACATAGAACATCATAGAACGAGGGCGCACCCAAATTTTAGCGAAAGAGCCATCAGAACTTTTACAGATTTATTATTTCGTAGAGTTGAAGCAGATGAGAAAAAAGGAAAGCAAAACATTCAATGGCCAGAGTACATATTAGAAATATTATTAACCTATAATAATCAAATGAAACACTCGGCAATGGGATTTACGCCAAAAGATGCCCGAAAACCCAGTAATCAATTCAAAGTGAAACTAAATTTAACAATTACGGGAAAGAAGAACCGTGTATATCCCGAACTAGATGTAGGGGATGAAGTAAAGATATTTAGGAAGCGAAAACCACATGAAAAAGAAAGAGTCGGAAATTACAGCCAACATATTTATACTATAGAAAATATTGAAAACAAATTAGGTCAAAATTATTACAGAGTTGAGGGCAATGGTCGGCAGTATTTGCGGTTTGAACTGCTGAAGGTTTGACTGTAAGCACTCTCCGGCGTTTTCGGCATCATCAACACTGAGGCACGTCACACTTCCTATGAGAATCTCCAAGGCAAACGAGCTGACCATCTGCCCGTGCTAGCCAGACCTCCTTGAGTTGTACCCAAACCAGACGAGCTGAACATGTGCCCGCACTGCACACAAGTATGAGAAGTGCCCCGCAAATTTGCTGGCACGTCACACCCCATGATAGTTCTATCCAAAGCAGACGAGCTGACCATCTGTCCGCACTGCACCAGTATGCCAAGTGCCCGCTGAGACTGCCGAAATTGGTCCCACATCACACTGCCCGTGATAATAGTCGTTGTCTCCAAAGGAGACGAGCTGACCATCTGTCCGCACTGCACGAGTATAACCAGCGCCGGCTGAGACTGCCAAAACTGGTCCCAAATCTGCTGGCACGTCACACGCCCCCATTTGTTTGCTTCCAAAGCAGACGAGCTGACCATCTGTTCGCACCGCACAAGTATGACAAGAGCCCGCTGAGACTGCCAAAACTGGTCCCAGATCTGCTGGCACGCGACACTCCCCAAGGTTGTTGTCTCCAAAGCAGACGAGCTGACCATCTGTCTGCACCGCACAAGTATGAGAATAGCTCGCTGAGACTGTCAAAACTGGTCCCAGATTTGCTGGCGCGTCACACTTCCAACTACCATCCTTGCCTCCAAAGCAGACGAGCTGACCATCTCTCCGCACTGCACAAGTATGGCGATAGCCCGCTGAGACTGCTAAAACAGGTCCCAAATCTGCTGGCACGTCACACTGCCCAAGACGGTTCCTTCCAAAGCAGACGAGCTGACCATCAGTCCGCACTGCACAAGTATGCTGGTCGCGGGCTGAGACTGCCAAAACTGGTCTCAGATCCACGGCACGTCACACTGCCCATAGTCGTTGTTTCCAAAGCAGACGAGCTGACCATCTGTCCGCACTGCACAAGTATAACAACTTCCCGCTGAGACTGCCAAAACTGGTCCCAAATCTGCTGGCACGTCACAGGATGCGGAAATCTGAGTCCGTCTGTGCATTTTGCTGGACAGGCGCCCGACAAGTTGAAGCTGTGGCCGCACGGAACGTGACTGACCTCGCGAGGGAACGAACCATGAGCCAGGATGGATTGAAAGAAACGACTGGAATGCATTCTTTTGCATCCAGAAGAGCATGCCAAGGGCCAGGCCGACTTTCATGGCAATTGAGAGATGGATGTAGGAAGCAATGCTCCAGCAGGGCACCGTTGAAGCTGAAACACGGGAATTCACTAGACAAGTAGTTTATGCTATGCTATCTTATCGTTCTAGTCGATACGGCCTGAATCCTACGCCTTATTCCTACTATAGATATTTTATTGTGATGACCATTTCCATTTCCATTTTCTTGGGTTAGGGATTTCGGGTTGCGGAATATGGTTTTTCTATGGGGGTGCGGGCGTATGGGGTTGAGGTCGGGGTTTTCTATGTGGGTCTTCATATGGGTCTTCTGGTGGTTCCATTATATCGGTCTTGCTATGGCTATTTGGGTGAGTTTAGGGTTGAGGTATAGGTTGTTATGGTTTGGGTGCTAGGGGGTGGTGCATGGTTAGAAAATGGAAACGGTCATTGCTAACTCTATAAGGGTTCCAGAAAAGGGGTTCTATAATGTAGGGGCCTTGATACTTAGAATAGAGTTTTGGGGGGGGCACATTATGCTATACTTATAATAAGGAGCCCACAAAAACTACAATTTATGATAAGGAGCCCCCAAAATACTATAACTATAGTACGGAGTCCCCAAAATAGCATAGATAATTATTTAGGCCTTTAATAGAACCCTAAACCCTAAACCCTAAACGATTACAATATATTATATCATATTCTGAAATCCTGAGGCAGCAAAGCCCAAAACCCACAGACTTTTGGCTGTGGTGAGGCCATGCCGGCAGCAAGACAGAGGAGATAATCATGACGGCGCTGATACTAAGAGGATGTAACAACAAGCAACGGCAACCACCACCAGCACCGCTGCCGCCAATGTCACCACCACCACCGCCACTGCCGCCAGCGTTATCACTACCACCAACAATAACAACCACGACCACAACCAGGACAACGATCACGACCACAACCACGACGGTCTGCGGCTTTTGCGAAATTGTAATTAACATGTCCGCTTTGCCGAACTGGCGTCGCCTCCGCAGAAAACCAACAACCGGGACATAGCGGGACCATTTTGCAACCTGCGCACAGCATCGACCGTGCTCCAAGGAATTGGAGACCGCTTTGGATCCGAATCGGGCTGCAGGTGCTGCAAACCTGAGCCATTGAAAGCAGGCCAAGGGCGTTCAAGGTTCCCAAATCCCAAACCCGGGGTTGATTTCAGGGAATCATCGCAAGAGCAAATGCCCTAAGAGGATTCTGGCAAGCCCCGATATTACGCACCCATGCAAGTTTCCTTCTCAAGCGATCGCCAAACGGGACGTTGGCCATACACATCCCCTTATAAAAGGCTGCCTCCTTTTAGGTTCTATTACTTGTGCTTAAGGGTTCAGTGCCAAGAGTTCAAGCATGCGACGACCCCCCTGGCTGTTGGCCCGCACATCACAAACCGCAAAGGCAAAAAGCATTAAAACCTAAACTTTTATCGGCCGCCCCACCTCACTCACCGCTGTGGCGGCAAAAACTCGGCAGGGGTGACGGGCCTTGGACGACCGGGCATAGGGTTTAGCGACTGGTGGTGGGTGTAGGGCATTGAGGTTCACGGTTTCGGTCCTTGCAGGTTTGAAATTTAAACGTTCCATGCTTTCCGGACAGCAGGATTACGGAAGGACGCGTGAGGGTCTGTCTTGTGTCTTGTGGACCGTAAATCCTAAACCATGCGGGAAATCCAAGACAAACAGGACACAGAAAACGAACAACCTTTCGGGAGCAGTCTACACCTGTTGGCACGTAACTCCGCAACACCCCACGCGGGTTTAGGGTTTCGGGTTTAGGGTTTAGGGTTTAGGGCTGAAACCCTGCAACTCACGCCCGAAACCTGGAATGCTAGACTCCGGCCCCACGCCGCATCGGAAACCAATCTTGTTACATCCCAGAGGCCCCGGGGTCTCGAGGCGAGCATCTGGAGAGGCCCTGGCAGCACCTCCGAGGAAGGAGGCCTAGTAGTAGTAGTAGTAGTCGTCGTCGTCGTCGTCGTCGTCGTCGTAGTAGTAGTAGTAGTAGTAGTAGTAGTAGAACAACTGCTGCTGCTGCTGCTACTACTACTACTGGTACTACTACTACTACTACTACTACTACTACTACTACTACTCCTACTCCTACTGCTAATGCTGCTGCCTCTGCCTCTGCCTCTGCCTGTGCCTCGGCCACTGCCACTGCTACTGCTGCTGCTGCTGCTGCTGCTGCTGCTGCTGCTGCTGCGGCTACTACTGCTACTACTGCTACTACTGCTGCTACTAGCACCGCTGCTACTGCTGCTTCTGCTACTGCTAGTGCTTAGTAGCTAGGCGAACGTAGTTATCAGCTTGGTACACGCAATACACGTCGGCGACGGGCCTCAGCAGATTTGTACACATTTGTACCCGGGTCAAGACAAGCAGCTGCGCAAGCTTGATAAAGACTGGCTCAGACCTTTTTGAAGGCGCCCACGACTTCCAGACTCCGGCGGTTTCAGTTAAAAGCCCTGAATCTCAAACTTAAACCCCTTTACCTTCAACCCTCTCCGTCAATGGAACAACGGTGGGGCTTTTGTCGGTTCGAACAGTTAGGAATCCTGAAGAAAGGGGCGCCTGCTCATGGTGCATGAATTACCATTTTCGACTGTATAAAATTTTGTTGAATCAGTAGCTACTACTGCTACGAGTAATACGACGACGGAGACGACGACGACGACTACTACTACCCCTACTGCTTTCTACTCCTAATGCTACTGCTACTGATTGCAACTGCTACTACTACCTACTACTACTACTACTACTACTACTACTACTACTATTCCTCCTCCTCCTCCCGTGTTGGCCTTCCTCGTCCAATGAATGTTTCTGAGGCCATGTTCTGGTGCCTCCAGTTTATGCTGAGACAGAGTCTGTCCTCGTTATGGGCATTGCAGAAGGCACAGGGCAGGGTGGACGGTGTTGGGCCCGCGTAGAAGTCAGAAGTACTACATTTCAAAGCACATTGCCTGCGTGTAGTTTGTACACACAGGATGCAGTCCTCCGCCCATGGGGTTGCCCAGTCCAAGTCTATGGGTAAGAGAAGGGTTCTGTCAGACAGGGGTGCAGTTAGGCAAGAGCGTCTTGAGTTTATATTCTTTGCCAGCAGTTCAATCGGCTCAACACATATACTTGTAATATGCATTTCTACATAAATAAATGAATAAAACTATATATATATATATACACACACACACCCATGAGTGCCAAGACCCACTGGGGGCACCAAGACGTACTATTGCTATAGCGATAGGTTCAGATAGACAGGCAGACGGATAGCTCGATGGTAAGGAAGATTGTTGGATAGCCGGACAGTAAGATAGTTAAGGAGATACAGCACATGAATCAATGAATGCGCATGTGCGCGCATCACCTACCACCCAGAATAACCCAGCCACCCACCCACGCACCCACACATGTAGCCGCCCACCCATCAGCAATCAAGCATGCACGCATGCATAGTCTAGGTATACCGTATACGTATGTACTGCATATGTCTGGGTATATGTGCGTTTAGGCGTGCATTCTCTTGGCGAGCCGTGTAGATAACAATGCAACAGCAGGCAAGTCCCTTTCGACCTTTGTGAAGACGGAGAAGCCCGGATGTCTTTGGCAGTCAGGGTTCGGAGTTCTGCGTTGTAGGTTTCATAGCGGTTTGGGTTCAGGTTCTAGGGCTCAAGGTTCTAGGGCTCAGGGGAAAAGGTTCTGAGGAATATGGCGCGGGAGCTGGTGCAAGATTGCATGATTTATACATAGTTCCAGGACAACGAGTCGGGTTTCCCCTGTGATGAAGACACTCCCGTGTGGCATCTATGATGTCGAGCTTTCCGACATTATTCAGTTTTGTGTTGCCGGAATCTTGCTTCGTTTCTCGATTCTAGAATCCTTTTCCTTTCTGGTCAACGTAAGATTTCGAGTGGGCGCGCGGAGGCTGAGGGCTTAGCTTTGCCGCTGTCGCTACTAACGGCTGAGATACCCAGGCATATATTGGCATTCCAAATCCACTGCATCCGCAACCTGGTTACCCGGTACTTGTAACATCTTGTAACCAGTACCTAGTGACCTAGTGCCAAGCCGACCCCCAAACCTTATTTTGCTGATTCTTTCGCACCGACTCTTGTGGTGGATGCGACATTATCTTAAAGGGCAATGATAAAGAGGCTCAGCGGAGGCATGAGGGACGTTGGAAGAGCTTGGCAAACAGCTTCTGGAGTTGCTGAGGGCTCGAGAGCTAAGGAAAGACCACGACATGCGCGATTCCGTGCACAGCTTGCTCGTAGATCCTGAGCTTGCATTACTGTGAAGTGGTACACGCCGCAAGACCTCCTCAACATACGTCCTTCGCGGCCTGCACCCCAAAAGGCGTTCTGGCAAATGGATCCACAACCCAATCTCCGTTCCAATTTTTATTAATTGAAGCTGCACATTGAGAGGTACGGGTTCTTGGACATCGCATCATGTCGTGTCGTTCAGGGCTTGCATGGGGCTCCATTTCCAACTTAGTTCTCCAATGCCCAACCTTTAAACTTTTTGGGGTCTTATAACTTAGTAGTAACCTGAAAGTTTAACCTTTTATTTCCCTGGCTTATTGGGGGAGAAAGCCAACCAGCCTGAATTCATGGGTTTTGGACACTCAGGACATGATGGCCAAGATGGGCGGCTTGTTTGAAAGCATGAATCCTCACTGTTTGGGGTTCCAGCGTGGTTAACTGTTATTGTTGTTGAAAGGGGGTCTTCTGCACGGAAACTCTTACCAGCAGACAAGAACCGATGTGAACATGCGGCATGACACACGCTGTTGCTTGCAGTAGCCCGACTAAGCCGCAATCGCAGGCATGCAAGACAACTTCATGCACGGCGACCTGCACCCAGGTGCCTCCAGGTTTCTCAGATTTCGGCTGAAGCTGAAGGTGGTTGTAGACCTTGATGTAGTTTGGGTTACCAGGAGGCGAACACGAGCAACCCCGTTTTGGCCTCGGAACCCGAAAGCCTGTTAACCCGACACCTGGTGCCGTCTGTCTCAAACGCTGCAGGGCAGTAAGGCGAGGAAAGCCCGACAGTCGAGTACCACCAGGGCACGGAGCGAAGTGCCATATTTCATATGCCGTAATGTCGCGTTGGATTGTACAGTTTTCACACCAGGCTTCCCACTGACACAGTTCGGGTCTTAGTGTTTACACTGTCGTGCTCTGGCAGACCTGGCCCAAAGAGCCATTGGTTAAGGGCAGCTTGCTGTGTCAGCTCGGCATGTGCAGCATTCTTCCTTCGCTCGGGGCCCGTCCTGTCCCTGTGCCGCTGATTTGCAAAGTCAGTGCAACAATCATGGCACTCAGCCACACGGAATCAAGGTCCCCGAAAATCCGAACCATCATTGTTTCGTGGCTAAGGGCTTTAGGTCTTCCTGGACTATGGGTCTAGATAGAAGAGTCAGGGGTTAGGGCAATATGGAAGCCCAAATAATTGCCAATAGTCTTGCTTATATACATATGTGGAATATATCTGTATATATATATATATATATCACTTAACACCCCCACAATTTATATTAAATAAATTCTATTCTGTCTGGAGGCCCCCTGTGGCCTCTTTACGAGCAAACGGCAGGCAACCTTTTCATCAAGTTTGAGGATGGAACGCCGACGGCCGCTCCGCAGCATAACGGGACTGGAAGCAACATGGGTAGTTGTCAAAATTAGGGTCCCTTTTGGGGTACCCTAAATAATAGGTGCCGTATTATAATAAGGACCCAAAAAGGAACCATAATTTTGACAACCACCTACATTGTGTAGTACAGAGGTCTGTACTTAGCCTGTGGTTAGTAGGGCTATTTTCTCATCGTCCCTATATAACTAATTCATAATTCGGGTCTTACGGTATAACCCCCAAAGCACTGCTCAAAATGAAGCCCGAATAGGCTTGTTCGTGAATGTTGACGGCAAGGCTTGAGGGTTGAGTCTCGCATCGTGTTTTCCAGTCACGGGGGTGGAAGTCTGGAGTAATTGGAGGCGATTGTTCGCAGGCTTTCGCTGGTCCACTGCAGGTGACCCTCATTGATGTCGGCATCTCCATTGCGATAGAAAATGCTCTAGGCAGGATGATCAAGGAGCTCGGCCAGATGCTTTCTGGGCGTTTAGGGTTCAGGGCAGTCCAGTCCTTATTTAGTGACTGCCTGGGCATGCACCTTGGAAGACATTGTTTTCTTAAGAGAGTCTGCAATGCGCTGGGGCCCAGCTTTTGCAGAGCACACAGTAGTTCAGAGGCCCGTGGGTCCGGAAGCACATGCCACCTGCTGGACACCGAGCTTCCGAATGAAGAAGCAGGGTGTGGAGCTGTAGCACAGGCACTCAGGATAGTAGATAATCCTGCAACAACCATGTCCCCCCCCCCCCTCCACACTTTTGCCTGTGCCTTGATCGAGCATTCGCAACAAGGCCTCTCAGTGCGAAGCCCACTCGAGCCACGATGTCTCGTTTCCTTCTTGAGGGTCGAATTGAATTAGCGTGTCTGTTTACCGGGGTCAGGGCTGTATGGTGCAGGATGCACTGCGTCCTGTCTTCATGAAGAACGTCTCCCGGCTTGAGAAATAATGCTTTCCCGTTCCAGTGGCTTCCATGTCCCTTAGACTCGGAAGGTATACTCGGGTCGACCACGTCACGTGGAGGGCCAGTGAAGGGATTGAGTTGAAGGGATACGGAAGCCTTTTGGTTTGCCCGAGGCCAAGATATCGAAAGAAGGTCCAAGCATGGTATCGGATAGTATTTTGGAGATGGACTTGATGTCGAGCAATCGGGAGCTCCCTCAGAACCTGCGCAGACTTGGCATTTTTCCGATCCAGCTCCGAAGAAAAGCATCCCGAAGAGCCTCTCCTCCTCTGTGGCGCTCCACAGGATAGATGCCTCAGGGACTTGTACAACTTTGGAATCATATACCC